TAGCGGACCGAACCGCCGCACACTGGTCGGAAACGCTCCAGCGAGAGGCCAGCGGCCTTTCCGCAAAAGTTTTTTGCTTGTTATTCCACAACTGGTGAAGCAAACTTCATAAAACTTTGCATACCTTCTCTGTCATATGTAAGCTATCATTTGGATGTCAAGTACTAAATGTATGACGTGAATCTGTTAAGTTATGACGTCATAATTGAGTATAATACAGGATCTAGCACCACTTTAAGTCAACAGGGGAAATTGGGAGCTGCTATTCGGGCACCGGGAATGGTTTCATGCACTCCTTGCAAGGTCCAGTGCTTCACTTTAGCATTGTTGACTTTGCGTGACGTCATTTATGACGTCACTAAGGCCATATAAGTTTTTCGTCAATAACTCCTGATCAGATGGAGCTAGAGAGTCGGGAAAGCCACCATTGGACTCAGGAAGACCTGCCGAATCGAATGATATGCGATATGACCTCCTTCAACCATTTTCGTGACCTGAGGGGCTCCGACCTGACCTTGACCCGAGGCTAACACCTTAAGTTGACTTCACCCGAACACCAAGTATAGCATTCAACGCGCCTGAGCTAGACAAACACGATGATGCCAAAATCGCGGCAGTGCGGCCATTTTTGGCAAAGTAATTAACCTAAAACCGAGCCTGTGCCTTGTGGCACTTACCTGACCTAAGAGGTCACTGGCTGACCTAAGACCTTAAAATCGGGTAGTACGTAATTGTTGCGTCTTATAACGGCACACAAGCTCTTTTTTCCGCGAGGCTCTAGCTCAATTAGAGGCGAAACGGCGAGGGGGTTGAACCAACCCTCCCCGGTCAATATCGGTCCGGCCAGGGTTAAATACCGGAATTGTGATCTAATGTAAAAAGACGGCCCAAGGTAACCCGACGTCAGTGACAGGTATCCTATATTTGCAGCGTCTTATATTCACGAAGGTTTCAATTTCCACTTTCTTCAGCCGAGTGATGGTTGTCAATAGCAAGGCTCTCTAAATGCAAGCCGTAATCGCCACGCAATATGTGGAAGGCTTTTGATGTCAATACATACATAAATGCATACATAAAACGCGCTTTTCACAAAATTCATAAACTCAAACGCATCTGTTTTTAATGACCAGTCAACTACGCATGGATGCGTGCAGGCCACACAGGTCAGCGTAAGCCGGGCGCGGCGGCCGAGCCGAAACTGGGGCGGGGCGGGCGGTAGTTGGGTAGGAAGAGCGGCTCCTGCAAATTTTGCGCAAATATGCGCAGTTAGCTTTTATGTTGCCCTGGTGTAAATTTAAATCCTGCTTCATCTCACAAAAAATCAGAGTGGAACTAGATGGGACTACCTGTTGTTTCCTTACCTAAACTTTGCAGTTATATTCCAGAATCACTGTAGGAGAGCCTTCATAAAAAAGCTACAGTAAATCTCAGTTAGGGAAAAAGTATACCAAAAATTTTGCACTGACCAGTCGGCAACTTCATAAGGAACATTTTGATGCATGATATGTGGGATTTCAATTTGGTGTCTATCAGCAATAAGACTCTGAATATCCGGCTCAAGAAACCTCTTGCTCCGCGTCAGTTTCCGAGTTCTGGGATACCCCATCTTCGGGGGCTGATTACAGTTATTTTTGGTCACCCGGATTAGTTTTTTTGGCCTAAGTATAATAATTTGATCAATTTCAAATCGACCTATATAAAAAATAATCCGAAACTCCGGAATCGCCCGTGGCCTCTCGTGAGGGCGTTTCCGACCAGTGTGCGCCGGGTGCGGATCACGGCCGATGTACGGGCGGTTTTACGGTGGTGGGCCACTTTTTTGCCGATGTGGAACGGCATTCCCCCCCCCCCTCCCGCCACCGGGCGAGTACGACCACTGTATTGTGGTGAACACGGACAGCTCACGTCGGGGGATGGGGGCGTGGCACGGAGACGAATGGTGGATGATGGAGTGGCCCCGCGAGCTGCAGTGTGACGTCGCGCCGTCCATGACGTGGCTGGAGCTCATCTCCGTCATGGTGGCATGTTTGGTGTGAGGAGAGGGATGGGGGCGGGCACCGCGTGCTGATCCGGTCCGATAACATGGGGGTGGTGGGGGTCTGGGGGGAGGGGATGGTCAGGGCCGCCACTGATTATGGCGCTGCTGCGTCAGCCCCTGTTCTGGACGGCGTTCCATGAGTCCCCTGTATCCGTCGAGTACGTGGCAACGAAAGAGAACGGCGCGGCCGACGCGCTCAGTCGGCACGACTTGGCGCGGTTTCCGGCGGCTGCGGCCACAGGCGGCCCAGTGTCCGGTCCGGCCCCCATCGTGTGTGGCGGAGTACTTACAGGACCCGAGCCGTGGAACCCACGTGCTGACAGGTACCGCCTGTGAACCCTGTGAACGGGACACGCGCGCATAATCTAGCATGAATACACATACCCTTGGTTCCTTTGGGGTGTTTGGCGGTGGCTCGCACAGAGCTGGAGGCGAAGATAAACCCGGGTGTTGACGGCCTTTCACAGCCAAACAGGGAGAGGAGTTGATCGGAGGACACGCTAATCAAGCATTAACGGGACGTTGAATCGTGATTAGCGGGCCGAGGTGACACGACGCGACACCGAGCCAGTGGGGTCCAGGGAAGCGGGAGGGGGAGGGGGGGGGCGATAACGAGAAGGGTGGAGAAGAACAAACAGAACCGCGGCGGCCCCGCCGTGGTCGGCCGATAACACGCGCAGTGTGAGCCGAGCCGCGGTGTACAAGGGGTGCGCGGAGTGTTTGCCCACCCACCATCCCCATGCTCCGGCGAGCCAATTCCTCGGACTCGTGAGAAATTATCGCCGCTCAGCTGCGCTCCAGTCTGTTTTTCCTCGACCCCTGGGTCAACAGAGGGGCCATTGAGACTATGTGCTGATCTGTGACGGTTATTAGACGCGTGGTGAGCCGCTCGCTCAGCCGTCGTGGAGGAACGGGGAATGGCGTCTGCTGGTGTGGATGTCTTTCTCCGTGATCATAAGGAAAATACTATAAGAACAGAAAGCAGACGTAATGAAAATGCAGTCGTTTGCATATTTAGTTATTTCTACCCACATATAATTGATGTAAACCAGAGGCAAGAGCTGATACTAAATTAACACTTCTTTAGTTTTGATGCTAAAATACGACTCTTGTCTCTTATTTCAGAGGCGATAGCACTTTTGTAACAGTGCAGCTGCCTCCAAATAGCTCACAGTAAGACACGCAGATTAGAAGAAAAAAAAACATTCGGATTGGTTGGTACCAGGCAATGCAATAGACTGAAGAGAGCATATTGTTTAATGTAGGACGAACAGTCATGTCATGTCATACCATACCCAGTTGGCCGGAGTTCGACGAAACAGCGTTTGTTGATAGATGACCCGGAACTGGACTTTTCTAGCTGAAAAGCCAACTGAAAGTCTCGACACATATTTGAGTTGACGTTTGTTCAGTTTTGTGTCACGGACCAATTCCAACGCATTTTCTAATTGGTGTTGACTCAGTTTCTAACCATTTTATGGCCGCTACACGTGACTCGGGAATCGTTCGTATTTTACTGTCTTATATTTGTTTTTCATCAAAATTGTATCAATGTGACGAATAAGTGCTTCCAGGGGCACTCGTGAATCTGGTATTTTCAGCAATCTCTATAGACTGCTGCCCTGCAGTCTGAAGTTCCGTGCCAAGGCGAGCTACTTCCGCTGTTGAATGCTCATGGTCATATTCATCACCAATCCAAAAACTCAATAAAACTCAGAAAATCCTGACAAAATCCCCACATTGTATTACATCTACCGTCGCGGCATTTATAAAGCTTCTTCAGTATATACGCCCTGTATCGATTTTGCGCCGCTGCCAAGAGAGGGCGGCCACGGCTGTCCTCACTGATCTGTTCCAATTAGCGCTCGACGCTGAGCTGTTGGCTATCCGCGGAGCGATGCTCGTACGTCTTTGCCCATCGATTGGTTCACCACCCACATCCTACCCTCGCTGTCCCGTGGACAGAGGTGACTCGTCGCCATCACATGGTCATGGTATCGTGAAGTGACAGGAGTTGCAGCGGCCTGAAGCACTGCTCCTAGTTTTTGGACTGTATTCACCATGTCATGTGGTGGAATTGTTTGTTTATTAGGCATTGTCAGCCACAGGCAAAACCCATTGCCGGCTGAGGTCAACATTTGTGCTTGACATTGAAGGCTGGTTAGTACTGATAAGCTCTTGGCTATTCCTTTCACGGAGGTGCGAGAGTGGTAGAAATGATTCAATCTTTTTAAGAACGATCCAGTTCATTCAACCATACACACCTGTTATCAACGAAACATGTGTCTGCAACAGTGTAAAATTTGAACCGCTTTCCTTCTCATATTATCCAGTTTCGTAATGTCAAAATCCTCCAGCGGGCGTTGAGTAGGCCAGACCAGCGCCGCGGATGAGATGTCGAACCCTGCTCTCGTAGAGTCCATTCCGCTCGTGGTCGTAATGTGACCCTGGACGGTGATTAAGATGTGGTATCGATGCGCCTACTCAGCACGTTTATATCAACCAATACTCCTACCAACCACTGGAGATTTCTGAACCAGGTTCGTTTGTCAAAATGATGGGTTTCGCCATATTGGATGCATTTCAATGCGCTTTACGTGGAAACAGACTAGATGTGGGTCAATTTATGGGCATCGTTTTTGAAATGGGAAAATTATCATATGGAACTAGAATATCACTTCTGCTCGGCTATCGGCGATGCGGTATTGATTCAACGATCAACTTAAATCTTTACTATTTGTTTCATTTGATGATTGAACAATCAATCTGCTTCCCTGATTGATATTAGCAATTTGTCAGGTCGCGCCCGTCGCTGGGTTTGTTCTAGGCACTGGCGTTCCTCATGCTGATCAGACTCTTGCATCTTCTCCAGGAGATGCCCCACAAGTCGTACCGGCTGCTGTATGTCCTGACGTTCCCCTATTGGTGCTGAGTGCTGACTATCCTATCGTCTCGTTTCCAGGAGCAGTCCCACAAGTCGTACCGTCCCCTGTGCGTGCTGACGTTCCGTTGGAACTACCTGCTGCACCAGCTGAGGCCGTTCGGCTACCACCTCACCAATGTCCTGCTGCACGTGCTCGTCTGCGTGCTCTACTTCAGGTGAGACTCGGCGCTGGGTGGGGGGGGGGGGGGGGAGGGGGTCGTCGGCTTCAGATTCTACTCATTGGTGGGCTGGCTAGCTACTTCAGGTCAGACTCAATGCAGCCAGTGACGTTCGTGAAGAAGGGCTAGCTTTGACCGTGTGTAGGCGTGATACCGATGTCGACATGATGCATATTGGAAAAGGACGTCTTTATTCTATTTAGATGCTGGATACTACTTAGAACGAGACACTCTATGTAACTGTATTTTAGCAGCTTAAGAGTGGATTTTCCTTTAGGTTCCGTCACAGTGCTGTCGTGATTTAAAGTTTAAACATAGGCTGCAGATTTTGCTTCTATTCTTAATCAGATTTTCACCTTTTTTGCTGTGTTTATTTTGTCCCTCCAAAAGACGTCTGATGTAATTATTTGTGGCCTAATATATCACTATATTACGCATATGTAGTATTAATTGAGCAGAATTCACTTAAAATTAGGATTTATCGGCGCTGTCAGTGAAAATGGCTTTGAAATATTCAGTAGCCCCTGGTCGACTTCAATGGCAGACAATTATTTTACTTTGTTCTTGACGACTCTGTCAGTTAGGGGACTTGATGGCCAAAATTGATCGTTTTCAACAATGTAATGACTTCCTCGCCCTGTCGTGCGGTATTGTGGTAGCATTATTGCACGAGCAGCCAGCCTAAAATTTCCCTGGTAACAGGCGGCAGATTTATAAAGAAGACTTTGTGTGCTGGGTTCGCCCGGGTCACCCACCCCGGGCCGTTATTAGTTTCTGAGCCTGTCAGTAAAGACGGTACCCTTCAGCAAACTCATTTCAGCTATGAAATGAAGTCAAACTTGCAACATGTGAACGATTAGCGTTCAAAGGCTCCAGGCTCGCTCCGAGGCAGTTCAGGGGTTTAATCAAGTTCAGGAATCAGTCAATAAATTCAATAAAGCTAACAATGAACTAGCAAAATACTGTTTTGTGTTGATTATCGTTGGATGGTGTAAATGCTCTTTTATTTCTTTCAAGTTAGTGCGACAAGGAGAAAACATAATTAATTTTGCTTTAATCGTGTGAGTAAAACTTATATTATTTATTACAGTGATGTCATAGGTCTGGCCTATTACCATAGGCGGCGGAACGATTTGAGACAAGGGGGGGCACCATGGCTCAAGGAGTCAAACCTAGGGTACCCCCAAATCCTGTTTTCTCATCGGATTTAGGCCACTTATTTTTCGTCACAGCCCTGACACGATGATTTTTTTTATTTTATTTTTTTTACTAAACGAAAATGGCAGTTCACCCCCGTATGCAGGGGTGTACCTAATTTTATATCTCTTTGTGGGGGCATATGCACCCACAATCCTGAATTATGCCCCCACAATGATGAAAAAGCACCCACAAGTCTTTTACAAGGCTGCAAGCGTCCTTTCGAGAGCACGGTGCCCTTCGCATGCTCTAACGGCGTCCTCCTGACCGTCTCGCGTTCATGTACCGGGGTTACATGAGCAAGTAAATGTGTATCAGGAACGGATTTTCCTATTCGCTCACCATTGTAGTCCGTTTGTAATGCGTATTAACTCTGCTCATGTAACCCCGAGCATGGATAGCGTTTTTAATCATCACTCGGCGCCCTTCTGGGAGAATGGCGCACTTTTGACAGCACCGCGCCATTCTCATGGTCTAACGGCGCCCTCCTGACCGTCTCGCGTCCTTAGGTCTCTGTTCACCGTGCATCCCTCGACTATTCGGCGCCCTTCTGGCCTCTCAGCGCCCCTGAACCACATATAGCGTTTTCAATCACTCGGCACCCTTTTACGAGAATGGCGCCCTTTTCATGATCTCAAGGCGCCCTCGTAACCATCTGGCGCCCCCACGTCCCCACCAACGTAGCACTACTGACTGTGCGGCGCCCTTCTGGCCTCTTAGCGCCCCTAGACCACATAGCGTTTTCAATCACTCGGCGCCCTCCTAAGAGAATGGCGCCCTTTTCATCGTCTCACGGCGCCCTCGTAAGTCGTAACCGTCTGGCGCCTCCACATTTGGTGCCCCTCCTACTGGATGGCGCCTCTCTACATATTTTTTACGTCCTTCCGGTCAGTTTCCACTTTTAAGCGTGTATTTGCTTAGTCAGACACGTCACTTGAAGCGCCATTCGCCTAGCAATGTTATCAAATTCGGTGTTAATTTAGGCTCCCACATAAAGAATATCTATCGCGCCCCAAAACGGCCTGGCACCGGGCGCCCCTACAGCTGGGCACCCACAATCATTTTAGGAAAATTACACCCCTGCCCGTATGTGTGGTTAACTTTAAGCTGATCCTCAAGTACCTATGTGTTTGTCTCTTCCTTATTGTCGTTTGATAAATTCCATTTATCCTACATGTATAATTCCCAAGAAGCCATCGCAGTACTAATCAGTGGCGAATCCCAGGGTGGAGGTCACATGTGTCATGACTTAGGGCCTGGGGTCACCACATGCCTGCCAGGAGCACCACAGGCCTGACAGCCGACAGGGGCACCACAGGCCCGCCAGGGGTGCCAAAGGCCTAGCAGGGGCACCACGGGCCTGTCAGGAGCACCATCGGCCTAGCAAAAGCACTACAGGTCTTCCAGGGGCACCACAGACCTGCCAGGGGCACCAGAGGCCTGTCAGGGACACTATCGGCTTCGCAGGGGAACCACCGGCTTCGCAAGGGCACCATGGGCCTGTCAAGGGCACCACAAGCCTGTCGTTGGCAATTTAGGATTGTCAGAGGCACCACAAACCTGTCAAGGGCACCTACGTTCTAACAGGGGCACCACAGACCTGCCAAGGCCCAGGGACACCACAGGCCTAGCAAGGACACCACAGGCCTGTCAGGGGCACCACGGGCCTGTCAGGGCCCATGGGCACCTAAGTCATGTCAGGGCCCACCGTAGGCTTGTCAGGGGGCAGGGTAGGTAGGTACCACAGTCTTTCCAGGGGCACCAGCGGCTTAGCAGGGGCACCAGTCATCACATGACTAACCAAAAATAAAGAAAGAAAAATGAAAATAGGGCACCACCAAAATTAAGTGGCCGAAATCCGTTGAGGTTTTAATTTTGGGCATAGGTAGGGGCACCACTTCGATTCATGAACCTCCCCTTTCCCGAATTTCCCGAGTTTTCCCGAATCCGCCCCTGGTACTAATACATCAAATTTAAGGGGGGGCACCTTGCTATTGGTGCCCCCCTTGCAGAATCCAAGGGGGGGGCACGGTGCCCCGGTGCCCCCCCCGTTCCGCCGCCTATGCCTATTACCTAATATATTTGTGTAGTTTGTGATGCTTTGTTCGTCCAAAAACACCCCAGCACTACCGGTTGCGATGTCCAGAGATCTGGAGCAGGCTTGGTTCTCCCATGCACCATGTCTTCTTTGGATCTTATCACTATCCTCCTGTGACCGGTATGCTCTGATGACATTGTTGCAGGTTATGTACACTCTTTGTCTCGGACATGTGCAGTTTTGTGGCGGCTCTGCTGTTCGCCGTGCATCCAATACACACAGAGGCGGTGAGTGATCAGGGACGATGAGGCTTTTTATAAATATTTATACACTCAGGAGTGACCTCAGCCTACATGGTCTGCATGTGTTGCCTCTCTCGCATTATTTATCCGTTCAGGCTTATGTAGCTTCTTATGGGGATACTGAATAATCATGGTTTCTTGCGGTCTATATTTCCGTATATTTTGACACTGACCTGCAACTTTAATTTCTGAGAATGATATGTGTGGTTTGTGGCGCTGAAAGTTTGACAATCAACACCAATTTTTTTCAATAATACGCGTTTTTTTTAATCGTGTCAGCATATTCGATCGTTGGTTTTCCCTGACAGGTGACTGGGGTGGTTGGCCGCGCCGAACTTCTATCGTCCGTGTTCTTCATCGTCGCCATACTGTCCTACGTCAGAGCCACGAGAACCCCACAGGGAACTGGTAAGTTGCAGCCCTAAAGTTTGTGTAATGCGGCGCAAACATGGTGCTGTGTTGCTCGATAATGTCGAGCCTCAAAGTATTTCCATCATGGCTACCATTATTCATGTCGTCTGCATGGAAACAAAGTGCGCATTATTCAACTTTGCAAGACACTTATCGATATAATATTATGCATGGCAATATTTGGTGTGCTGCTCATTCGTGAGCATGTAAAACAAAAGTGAGGTGTCCTGAGCAAAGAAGAATATTGCGTATTGATTGTTTTTCGTAATTAAAAATACTTTATATGTCGAATAGGCTACGATCAATTGCCATAGACCGGCAAGGCCATTGTTTTTAATGCACGCGCGCTTGAACCAAGCCTCGAAGCAATGCCTAGAAATAAATGGCGCGTTCTGAAGCCTTTGACGCCATCATAGTGACGACCGTTCAGAAGTTATGGCCATTCAGGCTTAGCAGGCCTTTTAGCCAGCCTTCTTGGCATGATCCATCAGAAATTCAGAATGTCATTTTCTGGGTCATCGCGCGCCGTCGCGGGCTATTGGTATGGGCGGCACACGTCGCGATTGAAAGGCCATATGACACCTGTCACATTCACTCAGTGCCTCAAATACACTCACCTCGGACTTACATAACAGAAGTGCTTGCTCGAAGTGCTCCCTCAAACCACTTCGATGATCTTTACTTATATTGCTTTTAGTGTTTCAAATGCTCTCACATATAGCTGTGGCCTGTTCCCGTCAGTCTCTAAGAGCGTGCTTTGACCGATGGTTGATATTTATGTCGTCAAAAGCATCTTCTGACACCGATAGTCAGACAAGACTAACACACCTTCCATTTTCGTCACCATAAGCAGTGTCTCTCATTTGTGATCCATATTTGGCAGCCGATCAGGTTTTGACCACTTTGCAAGACAGCGCCGGATTCTCAGGAAACCTCTGCCGCTCGGTACCAAGCTACACGCCCGACCAGTTGCACAACCGCATGAACACCTCTCCACCCCTTTGACCCTGTTCTGGCGTCATCTCATCACGCCACACACCGTTGCTATTGGTTCTCGGAGCTGTGTGCCGTCCAATTTCCGACCAGCCGGGCGACTGTCATTTTCCGGCGGGCTCCCAACTTCAGTGAGCCGCTCAGCACACTCGTCAATCACACGCGTCCCACGTCAGCCAACTCGGCGGCGCAACACGCCCGACCCTATACCGGAACGCCTAATGCGACCGTGCACACCGACGCCGTGATATATTATTCAAAATTACGATGTTCCAGCAAAGCTGCGAGGCGTATAATTGGCCTCATTGATTTTGATGTCGCCGCCGGCACCTGAGCAAACATACTTGTCGCCGTAAAACCGTCCGTGCTGCCGGGGCGGCGGCGCGAAGCACCCCGTGACGCCTGTTACGGAGGCTTTTCGGAGGTCTGATCCCGAGACAAACGGACACGAGCTGTTGCAATTCGTTTACCACGGGGACTCGGGGACTCTGTTGCTACAGCGAGCTGTGCGGGGGTCCCCACGGTGTGTCAGGAAATGACACCCGGGCAGTGTGTGGCCATGACGCCGAGGGAAATTGTATCCACTCATGGGATCATGGTGTCATCGAATGGGCCTCAGGGGAGCACTTGCCAGCTTGTATAGCATAACAGTAGACGGCTGTAATGCATTGCAGGGCCGTGCCGATGTTATGATATGGCGTGCACCGTTTGCTCCGCCAACACAAGCTTTTCATTGTTTATTGAGTGCGGTACCCGGTTAATGTGAAGCATAACTCATTCAGGATATTATGAAGCACGTGTCATATCGCTAGTGCATATGGCGACGATATATGGACGTTATTTTGGAGACTGTCACCAGCACCGGCCATTCTGCAGTAGCAAATGAAGATCTCCCTTTCCGCGGTGGTGATTTCGGTCCTCACCAAATGCCCCTGTTAATTTGAGCACGCTACACTGAACCCGTAAACCGCCAAGCTCGTCGTTCCGCTCCTGCGCCGTCCCAGTCCGTCCAAATGACCCAATTTCAGCGGCTGGCCGGACTGAGCCCATCTCGGCGGCCATTCGTCAAATTTGCGTGTCGACACGTCGGTGTGACAGTGTGCGGGTTAATTCCGTGTTAATACACCGCTGCTGTCATTAATCAGAGGATTTAGACGACTTCGTAGCCAGCGGCGACGGCTGTTCGAGAGCGCGCTCTGTCCGAATCGACGGATGATGCCTGGAGCTCGATGAAGACGGGTATTGGCTCGGGGAAACGAAGCAGGTTTGGAGTCGTTGAGGTCGTAATTGGATTCAGGCAATACAGATAGTCGATGGTAAGGAAATTTAGAAAACTCATTGTCCAGTTTTGGATGCTCCATTTTTTTCTGCAAATTAGGAAATGAATAACCACATTTCTTAGCAGCAAGTCCGATCTAAGTTTGGATTTACTATGGCCATTTGTTCAGTCAAACAGTAAAGCTATGACTGTGCCATCGCCTTACATTCTTGACAAATTTGAAATGGTCTGATTTGCTTTTAAGTGCCCAGGCTTTGATTGGTCTCGCCCTGTTGAGACAAATTTGTTCGGAGAAAAATTAGAATCAACGGCGCAGTAACGTACGATTCTCCAGATCAAGCCACTATCAAAACGATTCCGTGATTTATGTTCCAATCATTCACCGTTCATGCTGCATTTACTGCGATATTAAACTGCGAAGATCTTGAGCTACGGCCAGCGGACTTCGTGACAGTATTAGACGAAATAACTTAAGAAAAGCCCTTGGTCCGGTGTGGAGTGGATACCAGTGGACCGTTCTGGGGATATTGAACTCGACACGGTCAGCGCTGGAGCGCAGAGACGGGTCGGAGGCGGCTGAGACCGGACAGAGGCGGCGGCTGCTCTTAGCGGCCTTTATTTGCAGAGCCGACTACTGTCCGCGCCGTTCTGAGAAGCATCGATTGCTGGCCGGTCATCCGTCGGGACTCGGAGTTGATAGGGGCTGAGTGCGGGCTCGAGCGTCCGCAGCGCGTGCAGGGGCTGGCCCCCGGCCAGCGTCCACTGGTGGTGGTCGGGACTGGAAGCGAACCAACATGACAGTAGGCGAGTGGGGTACTTAACGGGTTCCTGCATCTGACACTAGGGATAAACATTCGTACTATTTTTTCGTGAATGAATAATCTGCAAGAACAGTACCTAGTGTTATTTACTTCCTGCAAGTTTCGTGGAACAAAGTTTTGACATCAAAGTTACAAAGCTTCCACAGCCATTATTTGATCAAAATTGTGTCACTTAAATACAAGTAACATGTATACCGCCTTGAATCACCTCATTTTCGAGACCGGGTACGGCCAACTTTCCGACCATTGTGGCCCATCGGCGCGCTGATAACCGTGACTGTGTGTCGTGTCCGCGGGCACTATCTCACCAGGTGCCACCGCCGCGTCCGCCGCTCGGCCCGCTCCGCCCCAGTCCGACCCGACGTGCCCCTCTCCCTGGGGAGGTCTCCACCTGTCTCGCCCCGTGCCGCCCTGCCCCGTGCCGTGCCGCCCTGCCCCGCCCCGTGCCGCCCTGCCGTGTCTGCACGACATTATTCTCTCACTGCGTGTTCGAATAATGTGTGTTCGCTCAACCCCGTCGGGGATGTGTTCTTACGGAGATAGAAGATGGAAAGGCTTAGTATGGAACGGAAATCAGAGACGATAGATCTCTGACGAGAGACAAGTGACCAGAGGCCAGAGGTCAGAGTTTAGAGAGATACTAGCCGTTTTCACGACGGGCTATCCGGTGTGTGCACCTAAGTTGACGAAATCTGCACCTAATCTCTTTTACAGCAAATATCTTTACTTTATGAATTTATTTCAGTGTACCTAACGAAGGCAACTGTCATACCAATCGCCAAATAACCCAAAAGTCTGCCAGAAAACAAGAAAAAGAAGGTAGTAAAGGACAAATGAAAGATCAAAGAAAATATGTTAAGTAAACTTAAACGCAAAAAGAAACGAAAAAATGCATCGATCCAAACGTCATCAACATGTTGTATAGACACGCCAGATCAGCCCTAGCCCAAAACACACGAAGACATTTATTTTACCATCCCACAAAAACCGCTTTTACAGCTGAGCGACATCGATCGTGTCAGAGATCAATCGTGAGATCGTGAGATCAATCAACAGCCCGGCGGGCCGTGCTCTACAGTCGAGGTCCATCGCCAGCCCTCGGTCCGGCCGGGCGCGGCGCGGCTGTTCAGTGTTCACCGATCGCTCTGCCGTTCGCCGGGCGCGGTGACAGCTTCTTTTCACGGCCGATCGAGCGACGCGATTGGCCGATTGTCGTCGCCGCGGCGGACCAATGATTTGTGAAGCGGCTGGACAACTGTCGCTCGGCCTCGGGTGACGTCATACTCGGCGGTGGTGTGAGGAATGGAGGGGGACGGGTCTTTGGGTTGTGCGAATGGATTTTTATTTATTTTGTATTTTGATAGAATGTCTGGTGTCTGGATGCATCATTTTTCATCATTGTCTTAGCTGCTTTGGTGTGACGTTGTATGTTGTCTGAGCTTGGACCGGGGTATAGGTCACGCCACTGTTGGTTGTGACCGTTGTGACAGCTTGTGACAGTGTGACGTTGTGACGATCTCTGTTTCAGTTTGGACTGGGTGAGCGTCACGCTACTTTGTTTTACGATGTGACGTGTGACTTTGTGGCAGTGTGACGATCGGACGACCTCTGTTTCAGACTGAAACATCCCGCCATTACTGGATGACTCTCTTCTGTGTAACTCGTAGTGATGTGGCGATATCTCGACGTCTGTCTGTCTCTTTTTCAGACTGGAGCTGGGTGGGCGTCACTCTTCTCTGCGTCACAGCGGCAATGCTCTGTAAGGAACAGGGCATCACGGCCATCGGCGTCTGCGCCGTCTACGAGGTGTTCGTCATCAGAAAGGTAAGTCAAATCTACATCGGTCTGGTGGTCACTTTCCACAAATAAGTGGGAACTTGCGGGTCACAATCTAAGTGATAACACATTGCTCCAATTTTCAGCATCTAAAATGTCTATCGAGCATGCCGTTAAAATTAAAAAAGTAAAAAATGAAGAAGAGTTACGCTGTGGGCATCATGATGTTTTAGCTTCTCCGTTCAATGTAAATTTCATACGTTCAAGTGCTACCGATGCGGAATGTGAATGTGTGCTGCACCCCACTTCAAACGGAATCCGTTTCTCTGATGAGCAGCCCGCGGGACGGTTGGGGAACGGCGGAGGTCGATGATTGCCACTCGACAGTCGGCTCATGCCGCCCGGCCGATCGGCTCTAACAGACTTCACACGTGGCGCACCAACTCGACTGCAACTCAATCGCGAATCCATCGGAATTTTAATGTCGCCCGGCTCCGTCGAAAAGGACCACTCGGCGGAGCGCTCATTAAAACTTGGCCGGATTCTAGGATGACAAATCTTCGGGAATCTCACCTCCATTTGTCTTCACAAACGCTGCAGGAGACGACTTCGGAATTGTGCCAGCGCTCTTTATAACCGTTCAGATGACGGACAGTGGTCTGATTAGACCACTTCATCCCCAGGCTGTCCGGCACTCGTGGCGGCCAGCGGCGGCTTTGAATCTCACTGATCAGGCTTTGAATCTCACTGAACCAGGCTGTGATACACACTGAACCAGGCTGTGATACACACTGGATCAGACTCTGAATCATACTGAATCTGGTTCTCAATCACACTGGATCAGTCACAGAATCACACTGAATTACCGGTCTCAAATGTGAACCACTGAGACCCTACGAGCTGTGACTGACATCACAGAATCATCACCGATAACATTCTGAAATTGCCGAAACCTGCTGAGACGTGATAGCTAACGATACATCTACATTGACAACGTAACTTGCCAAGCACTCTCGTCTTAACTCATACTATCTAGTATCTTTCAGAAAATCGAAGTAACTGAGCATCATTCGATTTTTCTGTGATTAGTTCTTCCATCACTATTGGCCGTTCGTGACGATTTTCCCGGAACCAGAGTACGCCAGTGCCACATTTCATACCGTGAAAGCCCGCTCTGGCCCGACATTTAGTAATTAATTGCGGTTTGTTTTGATGTGGCGAGTCGAGGGGGCCGGTTCCGCCCCGCCAGTGGCGGCTCGTCAGTCGCGCACGAGCTGTCAAAGCTGTCAGCGCGGAGCCGCGGCAGCCATACAGCTCTCGGGAGCCAGCCGACCGCGCGAACATTCAGTCGGATTGGGGGTCTCGGAACAGTGGCGGCCGTCGATACCCGACACTCAATGTGTAGAACGAGGCTTAGTGTGCCCACACAGTCCGTCCCACTCACTGTCTTCAACTGGGTCTGGTTGATCCCACCAACCACAGACTGTCAGGAGTCTTCTTTGTACAGCGCTGCTGCAGGGAGACTTGCACCTCATGTGATTCACTAACGCGATTCCGCATACCAACTTGTTTAGTTTTTTATTTGTCACAATTGCATGAACTCATATTCTCTAAATTCTAATGGCATTCAGTTTCCCGACAAGTCACCTCAGTTTCTACCACTTTCTCAGTTTCTGTTCTCGTCTGCAGTTGCGGCTGGCCGGTCTGCCGTACCTGCTGCGCTCGCTGGTCAGCGGGAAGGTGCCGCCTCCCGACTGGCTGAGGGCCGCCTCCTCCCGGCTGCTGGTGCTCGCCGCCAGCGCCCTCTGTCTGCTGGTGGCCAGGGTCAAGGTCATGGGCGCCCAGCTGCCGGCTTTTACCAGGTCAGTTGCGAGGTCACGGTATAAAGTTTACTTCGTACTGTGTGTATCCTTAAAAACATGCATGCTATGACAGACGAAACGCTTTACTGCTGGCGAGGACGTCCACACTTGCAGTTTACGGAGAATTGCTAGCACATACCCAGCTAGTAAGCAATCTTTTCAACATTTTGAAATGATCATGCCGTGAACAAACCGTGTTGACATGCAGTGTCTCCGTTCTCGGGTCCCAGATTTGACAATCCAGCGGCGGCGGCTGTCACACCGACCCGCCAGCTCACCTACACATACCTGGCGGCCGTGAACACCGGCCTGCTGCTGGCCCCGGATCAGCTCTGCTGCGACTGGACCATGGGCACCGTGCCGCTAGTGACATCTATCGGCGACCCGCGCAACCTCAGTCCGCTGCTGGTGCTGGCAGGGGTGGGCCGCCTGCTCTGGCGGGCGCTATCCGCTGCAGACAGGCTCTCAGACGCAATAATCATGGTAAGTCTGGTATTTTTTTGTTGTTGTTGCTTAATTTGTTATTGATTTACTTGTGATAAAGTCTTTTACGCTAGCCTATACCGCTACAGTCATAAACATGGCAATCATTTGTAATGACCATGATTTGTCGGTAGATGTTAGGGGAGAGTGGGGAAAGATGCCCAGGGTTTTGCTATGTCATATATTATTCGAAAATGACGATCGGAAAGCAAAAACTTTGAGTTTCAACGGAAGCCGACATCGTTTTTCTCCAAAATATCACACTTTCGTGCCTGAAATATGATAACTTTTTTTGCTATTAAGCATTTTCCTGAATAAGTGAAAGGGGGCATCTTACCCGACAGGGAGGGAAAGACGCCCCCTGGCGTTGGGGAAGATGCCCCCTGCACTATAAGTGACATAAATGGGCACGTGAATCGCCTGAACGAATCAGTAGTCCCTTCGAGCCTGCAGTAGACACCAGACGTCATCGTAAGGGCCCTCAAAAGTAGTCGTAAGGGGCTTCAGAGGTCATCGTTAGGGCCATCATAGTCCAGCGTGGCCAAACAAGCCTCCGTGGTGGCGTTCAGAGACCACTGTGGGACCCTTATAGGTCTCCATGATGCTTGAGGGCCCTCGAGCCCATCGTGGGGACCTCAGATGCCAGCGCGGCCCGTGGAGCCAACGTGGGAGCCCTCAAAGGATGTCGTGAGGGTCCCTGGAGCCAATAATGGGGCCCACAGAGGCCGTCGTGAGGGCTTTCAGAGTCAGATGCCGCCCAAAAAGTCGCTTTGTGGGCCGAGAGACCGGCATGGGGAGCACCCAACCGTACTGGACTCCGAATAGTCCCAGATCGGCTTTTGTCTCTCATCACAAGTATGTAATAAATGATTTGACGGGCTGCTTGAAGGACAGCCTACGGATTTAGGGGGGCGTCTTTCCCCATCAGGACAGGGGGCATCTTACCTCAAAGTACCGAAGTAACATTAAATCAGTACAATTTGTTAGCCATAAAACTACACCCTGAAACAAACTGTTTGGGGCAAAGTACATGCATGTTAATGTATCACGACTATAGCAAGGGACGCAAAAATTATCTACCTTCTTTGATATTTACAATGTTTTGACACCAAAATATTTTTTGAAAGCAGCAAATAAAAAACATGCAATCACCAGCCAGCCGTTGCCCAATTGAGCTTCGCAAATTTTTGTGCAGTTTACAAGGCAGGCTTCCGCCTTACGCTAAGAACATTAATTTCCAGGTTCGATTCTTTGTTTCGCCGCTAGAGGGGGTGGGGCGTCTTTCCCACCCTGGGCATCTTACCCCACTCTCCCCTATGTCGATTGCAGTTGGTTATCATGTAAAAATCATATGCACATGTTTCAAATTCTTATCATGCATCTATCGTGACCATAGGACTACACTATTACTTAGATTTTCATTTTTCTGAAAATGCGGTGTTCATCCCTACCTGCCGATTTTTCGGTGGCGCTCTCAGCGCTGGCCGACCCGATCAGAGATCACCGTTTTCCGGACGTGCTGCGGCCGCGCCATGGGGCTCCATCTGCGTCAATGTCCAATCGGTGTCGCCATTTCAGAGAGTTACCGGCGACCACGCTCTCACCGCCCCCTCCTCCCTCTCCCCGCCGCGACCACAGCCGCCTCTCCATCAGCCGCGCTCCTCCCTCTCTCCCAGCGGAGGAACACTGAGAACGCAGGACACCAATCATCTTTGTAACATTTCTTAGCGTATCATCTTCCCCCCCCCCTCCATCCACTGCATATATACCCTGATAAAGCTCAATATTTCCCCCAAAATCCACGCACGCAATAACAACCTAAACACTCATTAAAGCCCACCCGCTCTACCGGTGCACCGGCGGCTGAGTTCGCCGCCTTCTTCTCACAGAGCCTGGCGCTACTGGTGCTACCGTACCTGCCAGCCAGCAACCTGTTCTTCCCCGTCGGCTTCGTGGTGGCCGAGAGGGTGCTGTACATGCCGTCCATGGGCCTCTGCCTGCTGGTGGCTGCCGGATTCTGCGCACTGCTGCGTTACGGGTTAGTGCTGAGAACTGGAGACTTCTGATGGAGCCGTAAAGTGGGATACAGATACCAAATGGCTGCAATGATTCCTAGTCTTAAAAGTTAAAGCGTAACTTTGTGAGCTTTGAAATAAATCAGGCATATCTAACAAAGAGCACGCAGCTTGGAAACTGCTGAAAATTGAGCCGGTTAGATTACGGAGAAATTAAAAGAAACTTTACCATGACAGTTGGTGCTAAATTAACCTTTAAATTAAGCCATTCTGTTTCCGCCAACACATGCAGAAACTTGGCGCCGATAAGCGGTGCCCTCTTCCGGCTAGCGCGTTTCTGTTGGAATGAGTTGTATTCGGGCGGAGACGGTCTTCGGGCGGCCTGAGCACGACGCGGCCGCCGCCGCCGGCTCTCATAGTTTTAAGTGACGCCGCTGCAGGGGGCCCCTGGGAAATCTTGGCCGCCGTCGCGACAGCAGTCATGTCGCGAGCGGATACGAATGCCATGAAGCGGCCCTATATCGCCGGCCTCCGAGCCCATACAGTGGCCGGCGAACGGCCGCCAGCCGGCGCCTTCTCATTACTTATTAATCCGCTGGATGCAAACGACTCAGGAGTAAAAGCACACTAGGACACCGAAATGGCCAATGTGTCTCATTGATTGTCCCCTATGCATAGTTTACGACCGTGAAAATTTATTGCTGCTGAATTGAGCAGACATTCATAAAACGCCAAGAAAATCAACTAGCGCTCATATGCAGCTTAATGTCTTCTGTTGATAAAACCTAAACGACTGGCTCGAACGATTTCCGCGATTGGCTATAATCGTGTTGTTGGAGTGGCTGTAAAACCCGTTAGGGCTATAGTCGTCTGTCAACAAGTCATTGTCCACTCAGTCCCGGTCGCCAGCACCCCGTTATTCGTCACCACGGGCAGAGCCAGCCACCTTTATGAGCGAGCTCGGAACGGTGACAGAGCACACACCATCCGTAGCGGCCGGCTCTCATATGACGCCGGCGCCCCACGTGCCCATTAACTCTAACGAGACGGTATTTACATTGACATTTCATCCGGAGATGAGCAGGGCCCGGCCGGGTCCGGAGCGGCAGCGCGCAACCGGCCCATTTCCGCTGCGACAGCGCGCTGGCGGGGATATGGCAGCGCCCAGTTATCCGCCATTCATTCATTTATTATTTCATTCGTTCGTCAGTTCATTCGTTGTTGGCTCTCAAAGGTGCTGTTATTTGTAAGCAAGCTAACGAGCGTGCTGAGACATGCAAATCCATACAGGCTTATTAACCCGCGACCTGGTGGGGGGAGCTATTTTTTGCCCCCCCCCCTCCAGACTTTTCGATATATCTCCAGAACCGCTGCACGCCGATCGTCACCAAACTTTCAGTACCCTCCCGGGCATCAATTTTACACATTGTGACCAAAAAGAAATTTCAAAAGGCTATGATAGGTTGGCCGCAAATGACGTCAGAGTGACGTCATGTTCTGCCGTTTTCGACCCCAAAAAAAGGTTGCGCGGGAAGAGCTGTCAGGCCTATAGCGTTGAAGATATAAGAGAAAAAACGTTTACGACATAAAAGATGTAAAATTACCAGGGCTGCAAAATGGCTATATCGAAATTTTGATTCTTTTAATTTTGACCCCCAAAAATCAAAAAATATTTTTTTTGAATATAATTGCCAAAAAATCCAAAAAGTTTTTCGACTTTCGAAAAAACCGGAATAAATGTGATAGCCCCCACCGATAGCCCTTCCGCAGTAACAACCTATTTTTATTTGGGGCAATTCGGTCATATCTGATCATTTCATGTCCACACAACCTATAAAACGGAGCTATTATATACCGGGTGTATCGGTATTACGTAGCCGGGAAGTCATATGCCAGCGATGGTTGGCTATCATCTACGACGCCAATGGATTTCCAGAGGCCCTAAGCGGTCACGACAGGCTTTGATGGAGCTGGAGTTTCCGTAAGGTTCTGAAAGACCCCGATCAATGGGTATCGACCCGGGGACGTACTGCGTGACCCAAAACGCATCATTTGAAATCACGGTCCGAAGGAACGGACCAGTGAGCAGGAACAGTAGAACCGGTGATAACTGCTCCGATCTTCGGCCGGGTCTGTATTCACTTTGCGATCTCAGTGGGTCTGGACTGCGGCCTACGGTCTGGACAGCAGCTAACTCTATTGTCAAGTCCTCGGTCCGTGGAGATCTGCTTTTGTATCTGTAGTGGTCGGTCTGCGGTCCGTGATGGTCTGTCCCGTGGTCCTGTTCTGTGGTCCATCCCACGGTCTGTTGTTGGCCATTCTTCGGTCCGTGATGGTCTGACCCGTCCTGTCCTGTCTGTGGTCCGATAGCGGTCTGCAGTGGTCCAGTCGTCCAGGATGCGGTCCGTGATGGTCTGACGCGTGGTCCAGTCCGCGGACCGATCCGATTGTGGTCTGCCCTCAGTTGTGGTAGCCAGCCGCGGATACATATACTACTACAGCGGTCGTTCGGGCCGCCAACGAGCGCCGCTCGGCGGATGACCGGGCCGATGGAGGGTCGGATCGCTGTTTGGTCGGACTGCGTCGACCACCGACCGCCGTCGAACGATTCGCCTCGCTGCCAGCCATTTGGCTGTTGAAAATCGCCATAATTTACGCCGACTCGTCGCACGTACATGCTGCCGTTATGGATGTCCGCCGCTCTGTTGTAGCGACCATTGATTTCGCAATAAAGACTTCCGTGCTTAGCATAGTTTGCCCATTAGTCCGACGGTTGGCCACCCCGCCGGTCGGGGACGTTAATTATTACTGAGTTTTATGCGGTCGGGCCTGTCCAACAGTCGACTGGTGAGAACAGTGAATGGCGGCTCTGTGATATCTAACAGCATGCCACTTGTCTTTAATGACTGGTTAGAAGCGATGGGACGCAGATGATTCCAAGAAGTTTGCAATCGAAGCTGCGTTGGCTATTGATTGAGTTGTAAAATTTACATGTTTGTGGCATTGTTATGCTTAGTTATTGAATTAGCCAAGCTAGTGCGCTGATCTACATGAGCTAACCTAAGATTAGTCCAATACGTGCTAGTAAAAGTGATGCGTTGCTACGGCAGGGAGCAGCCACGAAGAAGTCTTTGGCTTCGGAAAACTTTATCTTCAAGTGCATTTGATAGCCAAGCAATGTGTTCGCCAACTGTGTTTCTTTTATGTCAGCTATGACAATGTTTTGCCGTTTAGCATGTATCCGGTAGCGGGTAGAGCGATGTTTTTATGGGACACACTTTTTCACGGCGTTGCACAGTCACTCAACTGGTCGCTGTTGAACGGTTTGTTGACTCAATGGTCGTACGAAGGCAACTCGTCTGACATAATGCCCGCTGTAACTGTCAGTGTCGGCTCTCTTCGGAGCTTTGTCGACCCACGCTCCCGCTGCAAAGGGACTCCACAATCATAAAAGATTATTTCACTTTAAAAACGAAAGCAACGAGCGAGAAAGGATGCTCCGTTGAAATTATATAAATAACAAACTCTAGCCATAAACATGGAGATTGATTTAGGTGTACTATTTTAGCGACGATACATAATGCTCTTCATTATTGACGAAGAGCATTTAAGCAAGAATAAATATTCTTACTGCAGCATTCTGAAGAAAAATATTGCCTGGCATGAGACACTGACAGGATCCTTAATTGTCGGTATTTACACTAAATGATCTATCATCATAGCCGCGCAAAATTAGGATTATGGCCATACTAAAATAATGAGTCATAATGATGATCAAAATCAGCATAATTACGACCACAGCCATAAGCATGACCATGCATTACCAGCCTTAGCCCATGAAAGCTGACCGGGCCGTTCTCTATTCGACAGCCGGTGTCGCAGCGTTCTGTACGCCGCGCTGGCCGTCCTGCTACTGACGCACGGCCTGAAGACGTACCGTCGAAACCACGACTGGAGGGACGAGTACTCCATCTTTACCGCAGGCCTGCGCGTCAACAGAAACAACGCCAAGCTGTACAACAACGTCGGCCACGCGCTCGAAGGCCAGCGACAGTTCGAGAGGGCGCTCAAATTCTTCCAGCAGGCCGTCAAGTAAGTTGAGAAGTCGGAGTTAGCGAGGGCTTATGTCTTTTGCTGTCCCCTTGAAGGGGTGTCATTAGCGTCAGTCTTCTGCTGTCACAAGAAAGCGCATGACGCAAAGCCCGCAGAGATGCAATTAACTGTGCGGTACAGTATAACCTCAGGCGCATTCGGTGCTGCCATCTAGGGACAATGCTGTAATCTCTGCGGCACAGTATACCTCCAGGCGCCCACACTGCTGCCACCTAGGGACAAAGCTGAACTCTCTGCGGCACAGTATACCTTCAGGCGTTCGCGGTGCTGCCATCTAGGGACAAGGCTGATGGTATCTCTGCGGCACAGTATACCATCAGGCGCCCACACTGCTGCCACCTAGGGACAAAATTGTTATATCTGCGGCACAGTTTACCTTCAGGCGCCCACACTGCTGCTGCCATCTAGGGACGAAGCTGTAGTCTTTGCGGAACAGTATAATTAGCGTCAGACTCAGACCCTATTTTGCTGCATTCAGTAAGGACAGTAACAGGTCCCTGCGGTGCAGTATAACTTCAGGCGCCTACGGACTTCCTCGTAGGGGCCACAACACTAACCTACCCTCGCCGCTAGCGTTTATCGCCACTGCTGGCTCTCTAAAAATAGATTAATTACCAGGAGGTCGCTGCTGCTCGCTACCATGCGTTTGATTTATTTGCAGGCACTTGCTACCGACAGAAAAATCGATAACAATGAATACTGGATTTACTTGAATGTTCGTCATTTGATAAAACACCACTGCAAATTGGAATGATAAGCTCGTCATTCGTTTTACACATAATACTCCGTCAGTAACTGGGTTTGTGCCTGTGGATGATTGTGAAATAAACTTAACTAAACTAAACTAAACTAAACTAAACACTTACATGTCAAGATTGTCATAATCGGACCAGTGATGAGCGGTTTAATCTCTGCACACCGGCAGACAATCATGGGTGAAGGTTGAAAGCTGACCGTGGTCGCACGACCACATACATAGTCCCGCTCACGAACTTCAGGACGCATGTTTGCCGACACCACCATTGTCTACAGGCCGTCTTTTTTTCTGGAGGGAATGTGGAGATCCAAACGGTCTCTGACCGGATTCTTAGCACCAATGTAATGCTGGAAAGGAGATGGTGCTCTTTTTCGTTATCTCTCGGTGCATATGAAAAAGGTTTATTTCTCGCTGGAGGTATTGTGGAATGTCTTTGGCGTGTGTCTCTGTCCGTCGATCAGCTCTTCATTACACAGAGTCGACAGGGGGTGGCTCTGACCGCTGTGCCGACACTGACCACCACTGGCGCCGTGCCGTAAGGGCCATTCGCCGCCGCTGGTGTGGCGAATCCCGACCATCGTGGCACAGGCTGATTGGGGCGATATATCACGGCGGCGATCTCTTGTCAGCGCGGTGACCGCGGCCGCGTCCCGGCTCCCCTCCTATTGGCCCTTAATGTCACCCGCCGCCAGCGTAAGTTGGACACATGCGGCGCGTGCTGACCCGAAAACCAAACGAAATTGGCCATCGGCCCCAGCGGGATCGGATTCGAACTTAGAGACAAACAATGGCTCGTGTAGATGGGATTCGAGGATCAATGTACCAATAAACTAAACATCTAAGTGACAACTCAATGGGAAGAAAACAGTTGAATTACAAAATCTTCTCCCTCGTGCATTTATACGGCATTGAATAATTTGCTAATGATAAAGTGGTACTATGTTGTTATAAATGAATTATTTTATGATAAAATGGCAATAAATCAGCATGCGAAAACAATGTAAGCGCTTATGTAGCAGCAGTAGGTACAACAATGTGTAGCTACGAAACTTGCCAGATATGCTGACTCGCCGTCTTTAAGAACCCGCTGTTCATTAAAACAAATTTGTTTACTGGTCATTTTTAACCCTCGCCCGCACATGCCATTTTCCCATCCTAGAACGCACATGGGGGGGGGGGGGTGGTTGCCACCCCCCCCGCGCCATTTCGTTCCTGTCGGAGATAGAGCTTAGCGGTAAAGACCAAAAAGATTCTTTGGGAAGAGACGAATCCAATGATACCCAGTTTTACCTTCTCAGGTCAGTCATTGACCTTCCAGGTCAGGTCAAACTAAAAAATGTTGCTGTTTTGGGTCACCGTTGGATATCAAGTGCGCTGCTTATCATATACCGATGACGATGCTGTTTTCTGGTGCCAAGCCAGCTAGAACCTCTTTCTCACACTACCCGACCAGGTTTTTGCTGCTGAGGTCATTTCAGGTCAAGTTAGGTCAAGGTCAATTATATGTGTTTGTATGTCTGTGTGTGTCTGTGTGTATACTGATGTGTGCACCGATTGTTTATGTGTCCATATTACATGAAATCATGATCTGAGAAGCTTTTACCAAAAATGCAGTCAAAAAAATTCACAAAAAGTAAATTCTGCTTGCCTAAAACGCAATTATCTTAGATGACCTAGGTTGACCTTGACCTTGACCTTGACATCTGTACATCGTCGAACAACATGTTCCATGATGGTTGGGAGGTAAGACTGGTAAAAAAGGCCGAAATCAAGGTGTCAAAAGCTTACAAGGCCCATAGCCAACGCAAGATGTCGAGAATTGGCATTTGGGTCATGACATGACCTGAAAAACAAGGTCATATCTCCGAAACCAAAGGTCACAGAAACTTGAAATTTTCAGTGGACATCAAGAAAGGATAGAGGAGCAGCTATACGAAAAATCAGCCTTCTAGCTCTAAAAATGTTGAGTGCAGAGCAGAAAGACTACCTGGGGGGGTGGCAACCACCCCCCCCATGTGCGGGCGAGGGTTAAACATATCATCAGGATAGCTTATTTCTGTGACAAGGGTGGGCCACAGTCTCTTGAGCTAGCTATATCCAGTCCAGCGCCTCCAGATGCGGTAAACTGCTCCAGTCCGGTGCCTCCAGACGTGGCAGAGTTGGCGCGCCGGCGCCAGTCCCAGCAGACTGGAAGTGCCGGGCGGCCGGGACATTTTCCACTCGGCGCCAACTTTGCCGGCTGTCTGTCGCCGGAACCAGCGGCGCCGACAAACTTTGACAAGCCTGCCATTTGGCAGATACGCTTTTAAAAACAGCATGAATATTTTAGCGTGAGATCAGAGCCGGCGGCGCGCCACCACTAAGATGCCGCCAAGGTGGCGCCGAAATGGCGCCAAGAGCTTTGGAAGCTCGCGCTCCCCCGGGACACCCCGTTATGTGTCTCCTGTTTCCTCGCAACGTCGCAGGCCACCATGTTGTTGTTGTTTTTTTTTTTGTAAACGCCTGCGCCAAGGGTGTATCACCGGAGATGCGATGGCGAGGTATTTTCGGCTTAGGTGTGATGTCAAGCCTAAGGGAGACTAGCCTAAGGGAGATGGAATGTTAAAAGGTGATACTAAGAAGGATGTCTGAAAAAGTGATGTGGTCATGTAATGCACTGAATGGAATGATTGCACTGAATGGAATGAATGGATTGAAATTCTAGAGTCAACCAACGTGCTTTCTTCGCAGTCTTTCTATTCCACCTCGATTTCCCGAACGAAGCACTGTGCGACGCTTCGGCACTTCATTGTTCATAGGGGGAACTTACGGTGTTGTTTTATGTTCCAGGGTACAAGGCGACGACATAGGTGCTTACATCAACGTGGGCCGCACTTACAACAGCCTCCAAATGTACACCGAAGCTGAGGAGGCGTACATGAAGGTCAGACATGAATCGGCAATCGCAGCATATACACTTGCATGTGTTGTACATTACATACATTCACAGTACGTCTCTTCAGCATGTTGTCGTACTTTAGTGCCTTTCCAACCATCATATAGACTCCTTAACGACTAACGTGATAAATTAGCCTCTTCCACACACAAAATGTAAATGTTGTCTTTGAAGGTTAACGTCCCGAAAAGTAAGCATGATTTCCAGCTACCGAGTGTGGAAGGACTTACTCGTAAATAGTAACATTTTATAGCATGCATTTTGCGTTTTTCATGTCTCTGTCGCTTTCACGGCACGACTACGGACGCCATAGATTATTTCGACATTTTAGCTGCTCTGCTGGCTAGCTGAATGACTAAGCTGGCCGATCCGGCTGGACTGACTGTCGGTCTGACTGAGTTAGCTCCCTGAGGTGCCAGACAGAGGAGCGGCGGCAGGGAACGTCATGTCGCGTCACAGGTACATTGGATTAACGCTGTCAACGCCGCCTCGGGGATTCTCCTGTCAGCGCTGCCGAGAAATTCAGCAGAGAAACGCTGTTAGACTGAAATGAAATTCGTGTACTATGGTATTAAACATTTTGGAAAGGTCAAATGCTAATCCATAGAAATGGTAAGGACCAAGGGGCTACTTGGCCGTTGTAATACAAAAACATAGTAGCTCGTTTACTCTGGGCCATACATGAAGCAAAAACAATTATACAATTAGAGCTCAGTCGGACGCTCTATTGTTACTGTTTTCTCCGTTTCACAGGCTAAGTCTCTGCTACCGAAGGCCAAATCCGGCGAGACGTACGAGGCGCGCGTGGCGCCCAACCACCTGACCGTGTTCCTGAACCTGGCGAACCTGGTGTCGCGGGACCCGGCGCGACTGGAGGAGGCCGACACCCTCTACCGCCAGGCCATCAGCATGCGGGCCGACTACACGCAGGCCTACATAAACCGTGGCGACGTGCTGGTGCGTCTGAACCGGACCCGGGAGGCGCAGCGCACCTACGAGACGGCGCTCTTTTACGACAACGATAACCCGGACATCTACTATAACGTGAGTAACACAACATTTAACAAAAACACAAACCCGACATCTACTATTACTGAGTAACACAACATTTAACAAAAACACAAACCCGACATCTACTATTCCTTGATGTGAGGACATCTATTTTACTTGAGTACTAAGACAGCCATACAAGAAGTATGACATATCTAACGTGATCAATGGAACGTAAATAACAATACTGATGCATTAGGGCATATTATAGTTATAAAGTAACTGCCAGGCAGGATACCAACTACCCGCAAGAACCCGCTGATCCCTGCTGTCCCATTTCAGCTGGGTATCGTGTACCTGGAGCTAGGTCGTCAGGCGCAGGCGCTGGCCTACCTGGACAAGGCGCTGGAGTTTGAGCCGGACCACCAGCAGGCTCTGCTGAACTCGGCCGCCATAATCCAGGAGTCGGGCGCGGCGCGACTCCGGCCGACGGCGCGGCTGCGGCTCCGGCGGCTGCTGCAGCTCACGCCGGCCGTGGTGGGAGCCGAGAGGGTCCACTTCAACCTGGGCATGCTGGCCATGGACGAGCGCGACCTACCCGCCGCCGAGGCGCACTTCAGGAAGGTAAGGACGACAGAGAGGTGGTGGAATCCACTCTAGGGTGGCTTTGATTGTTGTGGAGAGACGGCAGAGTGTCAGGAGCAGGAAGGCTGCTGGCAATGAAGTAGGGATTTGATCTAACGGAACATTAATGTTCCTTTCCAATTGGAAAGGTGTGCTTATGTCTTATTAAGTCTTGTGAGACGTTCTTTCAGAACGGATGTGGAATGTTTAGACGGATATGGATTCAAAGAATCACTCGGACGTCAGATAGCTAGTGTTCGGGGGATACGCTACAGGCGAGACTTTTATAATCTGAGATCACCTGGGGGAAGGCAATAAACGTTCAAGAGAGGCTCTTCAGACGCGGGAACTTCGACAAAATCAGCTTTCCTTGTGAGATAAGGCTAGACTTCTCAAACCAATGCGACAATCTATCACCCTAGGTCCAGTGAAACGACTCATCTAAGCCAGTAATATCTGTTGCCGTTCAGATGAATATGCAACGTGTTTTTTTAATGTCACTGCTTTTAAAATTCCTCGTGTGTTCTCATTGACAGGCAGTGGAACTGAAGCCCGATTTCCGCAGTGCACTGTTTAACCTGGCGCTCCTACTGAGCGACTCAGGCAGGCCGCTGGAGGCCGCCCCTTTTCTGCACCACCTGGTCCATCATCACCCAGACCACATCAAGGCCTTCATCCTCCTCGGAGACATATACGTCAATAATATGAAGGATCTGGATGAGGCCGAACGGGTATGTGTGACAGATTTTGTTCGCCTTTTCAAAATATTGATTTGTCAGAACAGCTATTTAAGTGTGAGGTCTCGTAAAAAGAGAGCTGAAGTGATGTCTCTGAGGTGCCTGCTATTCGATTAACGTGAGTAAAAATAATGGTTCTTCATTAATTACATAATGTTTTTGACTGCCTGCTTTCAACTTCCACTTTCTGTGCTCTTCCGGGATATTTCCTGGTTCAAAATGCGTTACTTTTTTGCCTTTTCACCGTTCTAAACCTCACATATGGACTCTCAGTGCAGCCACTGACTGACCGTCCCTCCCCCTGTCTCCGCAGTGTTACGAGCACATTCTACGTCTGGACCCTGACCACGTGCAGGGTCTGCACAACCTGTGTGTGGTGTACGTGGAGCGAGCGGAGCTGGCCAGGGCCGAGCAGTGCCTGCTGCGAGCCGTTCACTTAGCCCCACACGAGGAGTACATTCAGAGACACCTGAGAATAGTGCGCTCCCGGAGACAGCCGGCGGCAGTCGCCGGCGCCAGACAGGACGGCGTCTCCTAGCAACGCGACACGCTGAACGGTAGTGGTGCGGCGCGCTGGATTGGCTGCAATATTTTCTTGCTGCTTACACCTTAACTTTAAAAAAGGATAATTTTTAGTTGACTAATTACTGCACTTGTTCATACGCGTTTTGTTACTAAAACTTATTCGTTGCAACAATGGTCACTGTGGCTTTTGAAATGAATAGTTATTAGATAAATGTTGCCGTTTGTTGACAATGGCTTCCCTTCATTGAACATGATTCGTTTTTTCTTTCTTTCAGAAAAACGGCCAGCTATGTGGCATGCCTTGGTGAACAAAATAGAGTTGTGACAGTGTTCATGCCAAGTGTAAAGTGGCATGTCAAGTGGCTGTTCACTTGGAGATGGTACACGGCTGTCCACTAGACAAATACGACGGAGACAAGTTCGCGCGCCTTCTGATCGTTCTAGAACTCCGTTGGTATGGTTAGCCTGCACGGCAACGCTTCGGCAGCTTTACACCAAGCATCATCTCCGAACAGTAACGATTATTTCTTAACCGTCGTGCTGTTGGTATTTTGATCAAATTTCTAGCTCGGAGCTGTTCTCAGGGTGCTGCACTTGGACTTTAGTTTTGCTGGGGAGCTGACGTGCCTTTCTTGCCCTGCTTCTCTCCAGAGATGTACGTTCTCGCTGCAATGTCCGCTGGTGTCATAGTGTGTCAGATCAGATGTGGCATAGTGTCAGTCAAAATAAGACACATGCGGTGACACATGAGTCGAGGCATATGGATGTCAGAGCTTGAACTCTGATACAAGACGACGTTCTTTGTAACTTACCTCCGACAAATAGTCAGGCAAGTGACGCTGCGTGTGCTTATCGATGTATATGTGATCGTGTTGGTCAATGGGAACAGATCGGCTGAACTCTTTTGGACGTACTGCCGATGTTTTGATGACTGGAAATGTAGCTGCGATTGTGCGCCAAATAGATGTTGTTTGTGTGTCTGTAATGTGACTTGTTTGTACA